CGCGGAAGGATAAACTGGATATTAGTTAAAATTACTTCAGTGAAAGGGTTGTCAGGCATTAGAATAGACTGACCAGTGAAGCTGTTGAGTCACCAGCCCTGGAGGTATATGAAAGATGTTGTAGATTGGCACTTAGGGACATGGCTTAGTGGTGGGCTTGGCAATATCAGGTTGATTCTTAGATGCCTTTTCCAATTTAAATGATTCTATAAAGACATCACTGAGCACATCCTCAACACAAGTCTCAGCACACTTAAACCTTGGTGCTGTTATCAGAAATCATCAAAAACCATACTGATAACTTTCAACTTACTCTAATGATACAGTTTTAAATTTACCTAGAATATCCATGAATAACAGCATAATCCTCAGCTGTCCATCCATTAGTGTCTTTATGGGAAACATCAGCACCATACCGAAGAAGAACCTTTATCACATTAAGCTCTCCGCCAGAAGCAGCAGTCATAAGCGGGGTTCTGGAGGATCCAAGACATATGATATGAAATGGGTTGCTTTACAGTCACTGTAAATATTTTTGTTTCTGCTTGCCCTCAAAGAAGTAAACTCTCCATTACTTTAAAATGAACAAAAGAAAAAGCATTTTTCATTAAACAATAAAATGGGAGAGAGTCTCAAAACAATTAAATGTTTAATCGTAAAACAAACCTTCCACACAGACAACACTTCGAAACTCTACTACTATGCAGGAGATGGTTTTCAATTTGAGGGAATGCCACTGAGCTAGTGGCAGGTTTCCTGCCAGGAAGGCCATCACAGTCACTAACATTTTGCAGTCCTCAATGTGGAAAGCTTTGAATGAGATATGACAGCAAGCCACTGAGGTATGACCATCTTTCACAAGTCACACAGAAGTAACTGCTTCTGTGTGGCTCCTTTTTTTATATTTTTTCAAACCTCATTCCCATGTCTCTCTCAAGCCAAGCTGAAGAATATTAAAAAGACCCATGTAAATTTTGACAGCACTCACCTTTCACATTGATCTCGAGCATGCACATCAGCTCCTTTTTTAAGGAGAAACTCCATTATCTCTTCATGATGTTCGGAGACAGCAAGAATAAGAGGGGTACATCCCTCCTGAAAGGGCAGATAAAGTTAAAAATCAAAGTTAAAACAAAAAACAAACAAACCTTTAAGAAAAATATGAATGCAACTTTTGGGAAGCACTTTATTAAAAAATATAAAACTTTACCTTATTCTGGGCATCAATATTGGCACCATGCTGAAGTAACAGCCCTGCTACAGTAGTATTACCAGACAGGACAGCCAGGTGAAGGGCAGTGTTGCCATCAGCATCTGCCAGATTTGGGTCAGCACCACGTTCTAGCAGAATAGCCACACATTTTTCTTGCTGGCACTGTACTGCCTGGAAACAAAACACAACAAACTTACAGCATTTACAGTTTCACTTTGTTGCAATTCCTCCATCCTCCCTTTGAAGAGCACCTTCAAAGATTGGCTAACACATGCCCATTCCACAACAATCACAATATGCATGATTTTACAAAGGTCTACATAAAGAATATTGAAAAATACATAATTTAGTCCAAAAGCAGTACGTCTCGCTTGCAAGAACATACCATAGTCCACGTACCTTCATCAGTGGTGATCTGTTATCATTGTCAAAAAGATTGAGCTTACACTTGTTTTCTACTAGAAATGTAACTACATCCACATGGCCGTTTGCACAAGCAAGATGCAGAGCTGTCCTAAAAATTAAATAAATTGAATTAGCACAGACAGGGATAATTTCAGGGTTCTTGCTGATAAACAGATATGACCACAAGTTTCACTTTGCAAATCTCAAGCTTAAGAACCCACTCCATTACCAGTACCAGTAGCTGCACACCAAATGCTTGGGACTTGGTAGAAAAAACCCTCCACAGCATCTGCTTAGTAAGGGGACATTTCCTTCACTGTAGAACAAAATCTGCAGAAACTCCTGTGACCAGGTGTTGGGTATTGTTCTCTGTAGTGTGGGACTACACATGTGGCACAGCAAGAGAGACCAAAGCTAGGGAATCTGAGGACTATGGCAAGTCAATTTCTAAATTTTTGTTTTATCATTCATGGGCCAGGAGTGTATTGGAGACGTGAGAGATGGGTTGAATTGCAAGAATATTAGAGCTTCCCCTCACTTTGAGAATTTTTCCTTTTTCTCTAGCTTTTTTACTACTGAAGCAACACCAGGAACACATTTGCAACAAAGTGCCTCTAACAACATGTAGCAAAACAGAGAGCAGAACACCTTGATCTTGACTACAGGAAAGTAGTTTTTGACTTTCTTGTAATGTTTAACTATCATGGTCATAAAAAGCCTACTACACATTAAGTCCTCTCCAAAGAGGCAATACTGTGTTTCTGCACTATATAACCAGCACAGCAAAATTGAACTTTTTTCTTTCAATTTAAAGCCTTGCCAGAAGGAAAAGCAGTCCTTTAAACCACAACATCTTAAGTCTGATATCAATTAACCAGTCTACTTGTACACAACAAAGACACAATCAATGACGAAGTCCCTACAAGTGTCTTATCGTACAAATCTAGTAGGTGTTTTTAGGGCAATAAAACTAGGCGAGTTTTATTGCTACCAGAAGTCCAGCCTTCTGGACAGCCAGCCTAGGAAGCTGAGCTACTCTGCTAAAACCAGCCCCTCTTTAGAACATCACAAAGGATTTGACTCTGAGCCTCTTCAGAAAAGGTGATTCCCTTTCGCTTATGATAGATCACTAGGAACTATGCTGCAGCCCAGGGCTTCTCCTTAAGGCAGAACTGTTAAGTGCTTGTTGTGCTTGACTCAAACCCCCACACAACACCTGCCAGAAAGCAACAGCTTCTCCTGCAAGTCACTGACCAGATATTCCAGTCCAAGGTACTGGAAGCCTCAGTACCTCAGTACCTGCCAAAGCCTCAGAGCAAAAAACCAACTGCAACCTAAAACCACACTGTGGCATAGGCTGCCACATCACACTCAAAAAAGGCAACTATGAGTGCAGCATCAATAAACAACATGTTTATTTTGCGTTATGAATCCTTCCTAACTGCAGTGCCCACCTTTCTTTAAGCTGCTCCCAGCTGAGACAGCACATCCTTCGGGCTCAACTACTGAACCTGCACGCTGAGCCCTTAGGTGCCCTTAGGTAGAGACGGATGCGATTACGCTCAGACTTCAAACCCCGGCTAGAGAATGGCCGCAAGGCTCCTCCTGCAACTCTCCTTTGCCAGGCTAAGAGCCCGCTTCCACCCCTGCGCCAGGACATAGGAGCCCGGGAATGAGGGCACCGAGGAAGCCGGGTCAAAAACGGTAAGGCGACAGTTGGCCGAATTCAGGGGGGTTTTGGCAGCTCAAGCCTGCTTCCCACAGCAGCCAAGGGCTGCGCCGCTCCGCTCCTACGCCGGGGAGCTCCCGGGGGCTGCTAGAGCTGCGCCGGGGCTCCCGAGCCCTTACCGCTCCGCCTTGTCCCGCCCGTCGATGCCGGACTTCCTCAGCCCCTGCCGCACCTGCGCCAGGTCTCCGCTGGCGGCCGCGCGGTGCAGCTTGCCCAGGTCCTTCTGCCGGAGCTCGTAGGCACCGGCGGGGCAGGGAAGGGAGGCGCTGCCGGGGGGCGGCTGCCCCTTCCTCTTCCTCGCGAACCCGAAGATCCTCTTCATCCCGCAGCAGGAACGCAGGCACAGTCCCGTCTAAGGAGAGCGACGGTGGGCTGTATCGTGCCTCAAGCGGGGACAGGGGAGGGGAGCTCCCGGCAGCGAGCTCGGCTCGATGCGGCCTCTGCGGAGCGAACCTCGGGCACGGCGGAACCCCAGAGCAGAGCGGAGGAACCGCAGGGCAATGCCGGCGGAACCCCGGCGCAGAGCGGAGGAACCCCGGGGCAGAGCCGGAGGAACCCCGGGGCAGAGCCGGAGGAACCCCGGGGCAGAGCGGAGGAACCGCAGGGCAATGCCGGCGGAACCCCGGGGCAGAGCGGCGGAACCCCGGGGCAGAGCCGGAGGAACCCCGGGGCAGAGCCGGAGGAACC